TTCCTGCCCGCAGTGAGACCCTTTCTGTTGGATAATCAGTGTAAAGATATTTTACAACTGATGCCTACTGTGTTGCAGCCTAAATGATTCCTGACACTGACAGGGTGGGGTAAAAGGGCATTAGCCTGAAGGAAAATCTGGCTCTGGTTTCTTCTCTTGGGTCCTCCGGTATGGACTAAGGATGTTCTCACCTCCTTTTCTTCCTCTCACTACTTGCTCTGCTTATGGGCCTTTCCTCTCACAAAAGCAAACCCTAAGCAGTTAGGAGGGCCGCCACTTTGTTCATACCCATTTCTACTCTTCCTCAGTACTTGTAGCCCCCAAGGTTTTTACATCCTTACTAGCTGATTTCAGCCAGGGGGTTCTCCTCTACTCATCCTCAGTAATCCAATTTTTCACATAGCAGGTACTGTCTGGAGATCTGAAGGGACAACATTGTGGTATGAAATGTTTGATAAAACCCCATCTTCAGTATGTTTCAGGTAAGAAAACAATATTATACAACAGAGCAAGGAGAAGGCAAGGCTGACTATTTCTTTGGAGACAAAACGAGAGTCAAAAATGTTGGAGGCTTACTTATAGAGTGTCTCTCTTTGTTCCAGCAGCATAAGATCATACAAAGGAAACAAATATGCACACTCGACAGCTTGAAGCAAGTTATTTCCTACCTATTGGGTTTTCTGGCCCTCATGCTAGTCCACTTCAAATTCAGGTGCTTCAGGTTTTCTCCTAAGGAAGCATTTTATTGCTCCAGCTGATTTTAATTCACTTGGACAAAGTAATTTGCCCGTATGTCCTTCTCAGCCAGAGCCCAATGCATTCATTAGAAAGCCAGGCCTCAGGAGGTTTGGTTTCAAGCAAAGAATTGCCAACTTGTTTCAGACAGCCAAATCACACAGAAATGGCAGTTCTTGTCCCAGATTGTGACCTTCCTGCGTGTCACACAGGTTAGGTACAAACCAACCCTCCTGGCGAGAACGCTTGGGGATGCCCTGGTTTCGGTGGAAGGAGATGGTGCCATTGCTTGGCCCATGCTGCCACTCACTTTGAGGAGAAAACATTGCCAGCGCTGCTGAGCAGCAGGAGATGAGCTAGAATATTTACCCTCACTATCAGAAATATTTGGTATACAGTCCTGAGAGACAGCAGTGATGCCCACATATGCCTACAGAACTGTCTGTACCCTAAATGAAGAGTGGGTGGCATTTCCATACGGATTAGAGGGAAGTAGATAATGAAGACTGGATACAGCTATACGCCCATCACGGTTTACAGATTCTATATTCACAGCCAAAGAATCAACTTTGGTTGAATTTATCCATGTTAATTCCTATGTGTGAATTTAAAAATTCACATGCTGACACTTCCAGTTAACATACACGGATGTATCTAACAGGGTTGCTTCTAGAGATCACCGAAATGGCACCGTATCTTCACCTCAGTCTGCACAATTCTTTTCAAACACAACTATGATTTGCATTCCAATTTATACTACATGTATTAAGTTTCTTAAGCTCTATACTTTTCATACTTAGACTCTATTATGTATTTCTATCACATGGTAATTAAATAATCAGTCTGATGACTTCCACAGAAAGTTAACTAACTAATTTAATGCTGTGGTATTAGCTAATATAAAATACTTTCTACCATACCTTTTCATCTAAAAACTCTTGACCAAAATTGGGTTTTGTTTGCATATTACTTAGCATACAGGTGGTTTAACTGTTTCTACCCATTGTTATTTCTATATCTGCTGAGAACTGCTCCTTCATGAAGCTTAAAAGCCAGGCTCTAACCCTTCAGCTTTACCCTAAACTGCAGGAAATGTATTTTTTACATGTCTATGTTTTCTTCTGGGAATTGGCCAATTTTGGTTCTGCATAGGACCAGGAGAGTCCTGCTCTGCAGGCACTCTCCGTATCCCAACCGCCATACACTTTTCTACCATATTTGGTTTGTCTAGTCCTGCTGTCACGACAGTGGAAATGACCATTCCTCTGCCAGTCTATCCCGATGGCCTCAGTCAGCCCGAGAATGCCTACCAAACCCAGGAGCAACTACCTAACCCAACGTACTGTGGATCCTAATAGCTATCCAACTGCCTAGCTGTGTGCAAACTACCCAGTAAATCACATGTTTGGTAATTTTTCCTTAAATCCAGAGAGTTGAAAATATCACAGATCAACATTAATAACAGCTTTTACATTATAAAATTGTGAATAATTTAGTTAATTGTATGGATGTGTTGACCCTTACAAATGGTATTATGACACATCATGGAGTTTGTCAGAAGCGTTTGTATAACCAAAAACACTTCTGTATGCCATGGCTGGCACTGCCTTCCTAATAATGTGCCTATACTGGATTTAGGTCCACACTGGACATCCGAGCTGTCTAGTCACTCTGATTTGTGGGAAGAGCTGTTCCTAAGAATTTTAACAGGCTGTGAACCTGCTACAGCTAAGTCACAGAGAATAAAATAAAACAAAACCACTTAGCGATATGGAAATTTCTTAACACCCACCATCACATGGTCCTCCACGCAGGCAAACTTTGCGATGGTGTTAGGGTCAGCTTCGGATGCCTATGTGGGAAGGGTGGATATGGTTATCTGTAGTTCCCACCATAATGACAGCTGCTAAATGAGTGAAAGAAACAAAGTCTGAGAAAAAAAAAAAGGAAAACATTTCTCAAGTTGTAAGTTAAAATCTCAGAAAAGATTAAACCCCTGTCCTGAGGGGCTGCTGTGTATAAATGTCTCAGAGGCTTGAAAGGCTTAAATTTTAAAACTATAAATGCTGACTACTTTCCTTCAGCTGTAACCGTACTGTGCTGTTCCTTTTCACTTAAAACTATGCATTTAGGCCCAATTTTCTTATTCAAAAATGTTATCACTCACTGCCATCTAGTGTTAATGGCACAGATTGTCAGGAACTTAAAATTACTTTTCTGGCTTCAAGAATTAAAAATTTACATTTTTCAAGTTTGGCCTTATCCCGAGAACCTGGAAATTCCTGTTTCTACTGACAGAGGGAGCTGCAGATGCACAGTAGCTTGGAAAATCAAAGCGGCTTATTCATAGGAATAGATTTGACTTTAGAGGCCACAACGCAACTTCAGTGGCTACAGTTACCTTCAATTTTATTTCCTTGATTCTGACTCCGCTTACGGGTTCTCTCTCCCTGTCTCACTGTGTCACACCAGGCTGGCTCCTGAAGCAGAACCCACCGCCGCTCCTCCTGCAGCGCGCAGGGCAGACGCAGCCTGCTTTGCAGCACACGTCCCTCATCCTCTACTTGTCAGGAGAAAACTGGAGACACTGTTACGCTCCGCCATCCATGCGCCGCGTTTCTTTCCACCTGGCTATGTGCGAGGGATGGTACAGACCAGATCTCAACAGCACAGTTAGAACGCAACCCGGAGGCAGTGGGTGCAGTCACACAGCAATGTGTATGCCCATGGCCCCAGTTTGCTCTTTGAATGGAGTAGCTAAGTTACTCAACTAAACTACTTACTTAACTACTACAGTCGCACTTAAATGCAAAATGCCTATGCAGATTCTGGGAGGCAAAACCAGAACAGAACTTCAGTTTTAACAGTAAACAACTTCAGTTACAATTGGTGTGGATTTATGCCATGGGATTCAAAGGTAGCAATGAATCTTGCTAGTGAGGAGAAACAAACTCAGAATGCTTCCTGAACCCCTACAGGTGCTATCCACCATTTGATATTAAGCAACTGTTCACTTCAGTTAAGCGTAGTAGAATAGGCAAAACCAGTCACAACCTCCTCCTTTCTCTATTTTACCAGGCAAAGATTTAAAGCCTTAAAGCTGGGATGAAGCAGTTGAACGAGAAAGCATTTTCCCTAGAGAAGAGTGTGCCATCCATGGCAATTTTAAGGCACAAGTCTCACTAATTTACACTGCATCTTCCTATTTTTTCCAAAGGTTGGACAAGTTCTGAACAGTGTGAATTACCTTCTGGTGACTACCTTTTAAATAAACAGAATTAATAATTGTTCTTTACATGAAGAATTAACATATATTAAGTTCTTAAAGAAAATGTCTGAATTCAAAAGCAGACCACAGAGCGTTACAACCACATATAGTCATAATTAGTTTATTAGCACTGTTTTTGAAACAAATATGCTCAGGTACTTAAACACAGTTTAATTCACGTTTATTTCCACTTTTGATATATTACTGTATATTACATAATGCACTGAATATCCAGTAAATAAATAATAAAACCAAAGTGCAGATTAAAGTAGCAAGGTCAGTTCTTAGGTTATCAGGAAGGCCGAAATCACATTAACAGTGTAAGGACAGCAAGTTGTAAATGACTAATATTTAACATGTCATTCTATCGTTGCTATATGCATACTAGTACAAACGGTCCCTCTGAGAACTGCACTTAGTTATCTACAACAGAAAACAGTCCTTCCCTTACATTACATTTTCGTGATCTTTTTTATTTCTTACCTTTCAGGCCTGATCCTGCAGTCCTTACTCAGCAAAACTTCCAACGCAATCTGTCAGGTTAGTTTCTTACTTTTTCTTTAACCTACACAAAGCCCATTGGCTCTCTCTAAACATCTGAATACTAAATGATGAGGGTTTGAATTTCTAAAAATTCAGAAATTCTAAAAATATCCATAACAGAAAATACCATAATTAAGTACAGACCTAAGAGTACTAGGGCCAAATCCAAGAACAGATCTAGACAGAAGCCTTGGGAACTGTCAAGACAGCAAGGTTGGCATCTGGTGAGTCAGGCACTTTCCTGACTAGCCAGCCACTTTTAGGATCATAGTTTTGCATGTGGATATCTTCAGTCTCCTTAAATACTGCTTTGAGCACCTGCATCCTTTTTTTGGATCTGGCCTTTTTTATACTTGAATACATGATGTATCACATTAACATTATGCACAGACAATAAGAGAAGTGACCCTAAAATAAAACAAAATGATAATACACCATGATATCATAGCCATGCCTAGAAGAAGCTATTGTTCTTTTCTGTGCTTGGGTGAGGCACATTTGTTTTAACGGCTTTTAACACTGTATCCCATTTACTATTCTTGTGTTCTAACTGCCTTTTCCTGAACTTGTGCTGAAATAAATCGTTGCTGTCTTCATCTTCAGCCTCTGACACTATCTCCATTTTTTGGATAATCAGTTTAATGAGGTCATGTTGCTTTTCCAACAGAGTTGATATATCTTTGAGCCTAAAAAAACAAAAAAAGAAAAAAAAATATGCATATAGCAGGCTTTGCGTTTTGATTTCAAAGGACATTTTAGTCATTAAAATTACAGATGTAAAAGTCTTGACAGTCCTCAACGTCGCCTTTCTGCTAACAAAGAACATTATTTGGAGTACATTTAATTTTTCAAGCGTGGTACTTCTTCAGTTTTCAGGAAATAGGATTAAAGAACAAATTCCTCGTTCTTGAGAAAAGTAACTTACTACATGCTTAAGGCAAGAGCAACTTCACTCTCAAAATAAAATTCTGAACAGTTCTATCGTTTTTCCTTTTGACTGAAGTAGTCTGGCAAGAAAAAAGAGCCAGATTTGAACGGCAATTAAGCAACCACAAACATTCAGTGAACTTCACAACTACTTTAACAGCATATGAAAGATACTGATGAGGCACTTATTGATCTCTTTTAAAGTGCTATCCAAAGTGCAGTTAACACCAGTTAGCATCATGCATACCGAACACACGATCTGTTATCTTTTAAGAAACAATTAAAGAAATGGCAAATGTGTCCAGAAATTTTCTTCATAAAACCACCAAACAGGCTTTTTGAAAATCTACTTTTCAAAACATCTAGACTCACAAAATCACATCATGAAGTATACATTGTGACTGAAAAGGTTCTCTGTGAAGAACAGCTTGGGGCTTGTTTATATATAGTTGCTTTTTTTTTCCCCACAAGAATTAAAATAGTGCAGCAATTAGCTAACATTAATACAAAGCAAAAAAAAAAATAAATCCCACCCCAAATCAGAAAACCAAACCCATATACACTCAGTACTGATTGCTTCA